GGACGTTCCTCGGACATTGTACAAATGCGATAAAGAAATATATCGTGCAAATGATAATGACCGTGAGGAAAAAGTGCAAACTCAAAGGGAATTGACTTACAGAGTAGACGGTGCGGGCTCACCAAAGGAGCTAACCGGAGTTGACGGCCTTCCGGTATGTCTTCTTACGGGTCTCAGTATGCGCGCGACCTCCTAATGTCTCGTTGCCCGAAGTAGACAAAAACACTCGTGGGAATCGTAGACGTTTATTGGCGAATCGTGGTACTAGATAGTACCGAAACGTGCCAAGGTGACGCTAAACAAAGCAAGCAACAAATGCAGTAGCAGAGCGATAGCGTGTCACACGTGTAGCGTGGGTTCGAACAGGACCCAGCTTATATATACGCCTGAGCGGAAAACCGTGCTCGGTAAAACAAACAGAAGTAAAACAAAGAAAATATCACAGTTCGAGTCAGAGTTGATTGTGAAGAAAATATGAACGGAAATCGTCCTCGTGGATTGCTCTTTTTCTACGTACAATCACGGGCACTTCTAGGGTATCTCAGGATAACTTCATCAATCGAGCTTTGATTTTGATGTGATTAACTGAGGTGTTCGTACCTCTCTTGTCTCCGTTGAATCGAAAGTTTATACAACCATATAATGTAACGTTTTAGTACGGTTGCCTGGTCCCTCCCAGTCGCTGGTGAATGGCTCCATGGGCTTTCGGGAAGTTCATTTCAATCTGAAGCGGGCTGACTTGTGACCGACTTTGTGAAGTTTCAGATCGGCTAGTTGCAGCCACTGTTTCAGAGACGTCTCGTTAGGGACGCAGGTCGATGATATTTGATGATCCTGAATCACACATTCACGTGATGCATCAAGATCAGTGATCATTGGGGACGTGGTGTTTATCGCATCCACTGTGTCGTGCACCATCCCTTCATCGATGGCACTGTTGGCATCAGTCTGCTCAGTTGAATTGTCAGCCAGTTGCTGTCTTCGATCAGTCGATTCCACTTCGGACGAGTCCTCATTCATCTTTTCGCCGAGCACCTCCATTAGCGATTCTCGTCTAATTTGGAGTGGCTGGCGTCTAATGGCTAACTCTCTCAATTTTAAATTTAATTCATCTTCAATTAATTTTTTTCGTCAACTATGCCTACTAGAACTCGCTACGGTATGCTTGTTCAATTCCCTATCACAATACATGTCAAACTTAGAGGGTGATGAGAATTGTGAAACTGAGACCGAGTGTACAACACGGGGAGTTCACCTGAGTTATGGTATTCTCCTCTTCATGACTGTCTGGATTCTTCGACTGATAACTCCGGGTTACAGGCATCCTCAAAGAATATATCCAAAATAGACCCAAAAACAAATCAACACACTATAGGATATCCCAAGCGCTCGAGATCAATCGTAAATTCCAATGCAGCGTACTAGTTTGAGTACTGCGTCCATCAAGTGTGAGTACTGCTTCTGACAAGTTTGAGTACTGTTGACTTCACAGGCTACAACGATCCACGTAGAGTGACGCGCAAGAAACCCGGAAGACGTTGTCTTTCAACAAATAGGTTCCTTCTACAAATGCGGT